GAAAAGTTGGCAAAATCTAGGAAATTGGTAGGTAAGGTGGGAAAGGGGGGGGGATCGTATCAGAGGAGCGAATCAGGAGGGGAGAGGGTCTCACTTTCCGAAAACTTCACCGCGGCAAGTCGTGCCCTGATTACCACATATTTTGTAGAGTGTTCTGATTATAACTTGACAAAAAAAATCAGGTACTTACCAGGTTTACCTTCTTCTTGTGGGATTCTTAGTGTGAAGCCAATGATGTTAATGTACCGTTTTATCTTTGAAAAGTGAACTGCTCAATAGGCTTCATCGTATGATCAGTTGTTAACGGAATGTTATATGACTGCGCCATGACACAGAGTAATGACTGCTCTTTTCACGGCTTGTTGATTTGAGGTTGGATATCCAAACATGATGGCATTGATGTACGACTTGCAACTAATGGCCGAATCGCACTGTACGTTCTCGCGAAGTCGGACGATACGTAAGGATGTCCTTTTAGCAGCCGATGCTATATACAGAGTAAGTCCAATGAATTAAAGGCAGTTGGCACGATGGTTTCCTACTCGGCCTAAAATGCTAGTAGGGCGCTATATAGTGGGGAAATGGCGAAAGAACGGAGTGAAACGGTCAAAATCCTGCGAAGAAAAAGCCTCCGTTCTCAGTGACTTGTAAATCGATTTCGGACGAGTTTCCCGTAGGCATCTTACCAATCACCGCTACCGAAGATACGGCTGCATATGTGTACCCATATATGCATGCAGCATCACGGCCGCTTCATACCAATCCCTTCGCTTCATAATTTGCTTAGCAAATGAATGAATACGAGCGTCAGGAACGGTCGTCCATTTGTGGGCGGGCGTTTGGGACGTAAAGTTGTGGCTTGATAGGGCCCTTATAAGGGCACCTTCCTCGGGAAAACCGCGGGGCTATGCAGCGCGAAGGTTCAGAGGTCGCCGGCATTCCGTCCTGCCAGGCGTATTGATCCTAGTCGTCTTGGGGGATTTATTGTGCCAACTTCCTTTAAGCAAGCTTTACCAGATTCAGTCATGTGGTGTTACCTGTCATTCTGGGTAAAATCTGATGATGGAAGTCTGTTTGAAGAAGAATATGAGAAAACAGTGCGCGACTAACATGCTACATTGAATGCGAAGCATTAAGATGGAAAAGAGATCAGCAAAAATCTATCTCGTTTTTCAAACTTTTGTTGGGATCAGGTGTAAGGCCAATTCGCAGAGAGGCTGGAGCGCATCCTTGACGCATGATACATTTCAAGAATTATCTTTGTTGCGGAAATTTAGTGTCTTATTAGGTTTTCATGATTTTAACACTCATAACTTCTTCCATAGGTGCCCGTCTGCGAAATCCGAGACCTACCGTAAATGCACTGTTCCGGCACTGTAGTCCTTCTGATGCCTTCTAAAACGTATACTTCTAGACCACATTTTTTCATCAAAATAAATAGAAAATAGTTCATTAGGTGTTGGTTCTCTCATTCTCCATAGAGCGTATTTAACTCTTACCCTCCTCGTTATGGTTCTCACGACGATCATGTGCTCTGGTCTAATCTCGCTTGAAGGCCTTCTTCCAAGTATTTTGCTACGTGTCCAAGTGCTCTATGAATCTTGGCATATTCCTCACCATCAGTATAAGTCGGCAAACTGGTTTAGCTTATCACCAAGCTTGTTAATCACTTTCATCATAAAACCAAAAATTATTAATGATCCTGATTCAAGCCGAATCATTTTGTTGATTTATGCCTTGGTACGCTCATAACTTGTAATGGAAGGATATGGTGGTGGGAAAAATAGTTTGGGCAGCTCATAAATTTTCCATTTGAGGCGATGTACGCTAAAGACGACAGATATCCGGCAACGTTTCGTGTGATCTCATTCATCGGATGGAAGCCGGGTCCAGATATGCCAAAGCCAGCGAAACGGGGTTCGCAGAACGTTTCTTTCAAGGTGAATTTTAATGGGTATTTTAAATGTAGTTTGCTTTGTTCTGTGGTACGTACACAAGCCGCGGCGACGGCAGCCAGTTCTACATTATGCTGGCAGATTGAGGGCCCTTACAAATCGTATATTGAAAAGGTCGCGGCATAAATTCATACTTTCAGGATGTTGGAAAGATGTGGAAGATCCTCGTCTGTAGAGAAAGACTATAGCAAAGAAGAAGCATGATTCTGAGAAAAATAGGCAGCAGTGAGATCCTAGGGTGATAAAAATGGTGCTTCAGAAGTACATTATATGTTTTGTTTGTGTAACAATTTTAGAGTTTTTCAATTTCTGTTAAGTTCGAGGTTTCGTTCATAATAATAATAATAAATTGTCTTACCTTATTGTAATTTTCGCATCCAAGTTCATATTTCAGATGATCTATTCAGACTGATAATTAACTCCTTTCTTTTCAATATCTGCTTATACAGCTAACCTCGCTTATGTGCGAAGAGGCTCCCCATATTCCAAAAGAGACAGTGGGTGCCTAGAACAAGCTTTAAGGGGGGGGGGGGGAATTTCAAAAATTTACGGTGGAACAGATACCCAGAGACAATGGGTGGCCTATCCAAGCTTAAGGGGGCGGGGGAAGATTCCAAAAATTTACGGTTGGAAGCAGATACACCGATCTCCGCTTATTTTGGGCCCCCCCCCGCCCCAAGCAGCAGCACACTCCGTGCTTTGATCAAAGCACCTTACAATTCTGGCGGAACGAGTGAGTCTTCTCATCTATTTCATTTACCCGAAAAAGTCAGATTTCTAGTTAAGGGAAATGTCAGTTTATCGACAGGGCGTTGAAGAAGAGCTTGGTTATTTTTCCTATCGTCTATACATTACTGACCGCCGGAAGGTGGGGTCGTACTGTACTGTCCGTGCTTTCATCTACTTGACACGCTCACGTCTGCCTTAAGTCAATTTTCAAATAAAAACAACGGGAAAGAATTGGCTTAGTGGGGCACCAGATGGTACTCAGCGAAGGTGCTACAGACCACCTCCCGAAGGCCTGTAAATTCCTGTGACCAGAGTAGTTCATACGAAGAATTTGCAATATCGCACTAGTTTACAGATCTGATGAAGTGGTATCTGCTAATCAACATGAACTAACACAAGTAACCGGTGTAAAAAAATTGTAAACTAGGAAAAAGAACTAACAAGAGTGCAAAATCCGCCTCCAAGGAAGAGCATCAGAGGAATGCTGCGTTGAAGAGGGCCGTCTGGTTCAGTGGTTTAGTCTATGCGATCAGATTGCCTTTGGGTGAGCTTTTCGACGAGCAAAATCCGAAAGTCTGCCGCTGTCATTAAAATAGGCGAACCTTTTCGAGTTTAGCTGTCACTTGTGAAGTACCAGTTAGTACTTACACACTTTTTCAACATGTGGTGTAATGAGAAATGAAGTTGTGAGTGTGTGATATTCCAGTATTTCAAAAAAATTTCTTCAAAGCAGTGGGCGCGGTAAAGGGAGCGAGCGGTTGTTGTGAACGTTATTGGTGGAGGCCTGTGTGAGGGCTTTTCCCTTGCCTTATTTAGCCCTTCCATCAATCACGTTGGTAGCTATGCCCACTGCCTTTGAAGTGCTATTTCGAGAACCGGAGGTGACGGAGGGAAAGGAGGGAGAAGCGTGGCATCCCCACTGAGGGAACTTCCACAATAGGAAAAGTGCTCAACATTAGTTGAGCGCAAACTTGACCGCATTCGTTTTGCCAGAGCATCTTCAGAGTTTCCTTCTTATCTGTGGGGATATCGCCTTTCCGAATTATCGTTACCGTTCATTCCCACCGTCTGTTGAACTTTCACGCGCATATTTCATTTTCATCAAAAACTTGAATTCTGTGACAAAAATGAAGAGCATCTGTTTTGGCGGAGTTAACGGTCCAAGAACTGGAGGTCGTGGGGTGGGGGGAAGAGGGGGAGAAGAGGTGTGGCTTCAACTGTGGAAACTCCAAAGAAGGAAATGTCTGTAATCAACTCAACTCGAATAGTGATGTACCATATCGCCGGGGCTTTTTCAGAATTCTTAGCTAACCTGATTCTTAGCCGCTTACATGAACTCTCAATTCTTAAGGAGTTTATCGACCAATAAAAGCAGATATTCTATCGTTTTGCTAGCACCTGTCCACAGACGTGTGTTACGAATCAGAACAATCACTGGAATATTGTTATAATTATGAATGACGTCTGGCACTCATTGACTGGCTCAGATAGCAACCCAGGAGTCAAGTTCAAATCCTTCCTTCAAGAGGATACATCGATTGGTATCATAGGTGCCATATCGGCGTTTAAAAAATAATTGCAGGTCGCCTCTTCTTCAAGGAAGAGCGGCTTTGATGAGAAGACAAATTCAAGGGACATCGCCCTTGAAGTCCTCCCCGATTCATAGGCATACAAAAATTGAAATAAAATTAAGAACACGCTCTGTTCATGGTTTTGGAACTCGTCGACTCCCTAACCGTCCTAATCTATCGGCATCGGTCTAT